AGATTCCATTTATTTGAGACCTATTTCACTAATCTCCCGCCGAAGCGACTAATGCAGAGATAATACGTTAGACTTGTATTTCGGTGGTGCTCGGTTCGGATATCGGTTGGGATACTGGCTATCCTGAGTATTTTGTCATTTTCTTCAAAATAATTTTTAATAATAATAATAATAATAATTCATCCCTCATCCAGCGCACTAAGATGTTATTACACGTGTAGTTAAATAACCCACAAATCCTTTCCTATCATTAATGTCTTTGTTCCAAAACTGGTCTCAATTTTAAGCATGACAGGCCTAAAATCGAATTGAACTCTTACGTCCGTGAAACAGAACAAAAACTGTATGGAAAGGCAGTATGACGAGATAAAACTGAATGGCTTCACCCGAGGCGAAAGAATTGATAAATATAAAAATGAAGTGTAAAGGGAAGCAGTAAAGCTGAAATAGGAAAGAGGCGAGCAAACGAAGTGTAGGAGCCAATCGAATTCAATAAACCAAGCTACTCCTTCCGGTTCCGTCTTCTTCAAAATTTCCTTTATTTCCCTCCACTTTAATGCTTTCCAGCAGGAGTTGGATGATTCCTCTAGGAGTCACTGGGAGTTTCGTGGCGAAGAACTGGGGTCGATACAGTTAAGGGACGTTCGCAAAAATAATCTAAACCAAACCCCACGAGTGATCCGCTTAACTTAAAGCAATTGGAGGCCATGGATAAGGTTTGTAGGGCTTCCGTTCTGAAGGGCTAAGCAGTGCAATTACCTCGTGGAATGTCAGATTATACGAGAACCTAGAGATTTTAAACTCGTGATTTTTTTCAGTGTTTCGAGTTTCTCTTACACGCTAGCAAACATTACCTTCACAATGTTGGCTATAGTGACGCAATATATTGTGACATGGCGTCCGAAAGCCGGAATAATGAAGTACAGACGTTCATTGCTAGGCAACGAGTTGGTAAACGCATTACCGTGGCAAGGAATGCGCAAGCAACAATCAAATGCTATGGAATTTTAAAATATTTTATAATTATTATACACCTTAAAATGCAAAGTGTAGCAGCGTGAAAAGGGGCCACAAGTTTCATGTACAACTAGTGCACCTGATGAAGGGAACCAGTTGGACCGAAACATAACAACGCTTCTGAACTGTGAATTTTAATACATCGACGAAGTTGCATACGGAGGGCGAGAAGTGAATTAGAGATCGTCATTATCTTCCACATATTGCATGTTCTGTAATCATTTGTTAGGTAAATTCTAATTCCGCTAAGATTTGGCTGCAGATAATACAGTAAGGACGGACTGAAGGCGACATATACTTTACTTTATCTTAACTTTGCCTCTGACCATCCTCCATTGCTCTCTGTCTGTCAGTCTCTGCACCCTCGGCGGGCTGACACGTCTGACTGCAGATCATTTCACGCTTCATCAGAGAGCCATTAGCAGCTTCCACACCTACTGAACTTCCTCTACCGTGTCTAGGATCTCCCTTCCTTACTCAATGCTCTCATTCGCCCTTCACCCTTCAGATTTCCGACACAACTCAACATTCCACCCCCACCCCTTATCTATCTCTTCCTGACGTTCAGAAAATCGGACAGACCTCTTCAACGATTCAAAGGTGAGGGGTGGAGGCATAAGGGCAGAATGGTAGAAAAACCAATCATTTTATGTGGAAAAGAGGGTGCTTTATAGTAGATTAGGACACCATTCAGCAGTTATCCAGTTCTATGAAAGTGTCCCCACTTGCTCTGCCTGCCAGCTCCTGCACATGTGCCCTAGCATATGCTGGAGTTGTGCTTCCTTAGTGGGCTCTGCAATTCAATTTTCACAGAATTCTGTCATCAGAAAGCTCACCACAGCTGCTACGCCTCACACTGTGGTCAACGTTTCCTGTGTGAAAGAAAAAGGTAATTTCGTACTGAAAAAGCGTCACTTAAAGTCAAACGAGATAATTGAAACAGCGTCGGATTGCACTGATTTCTGTCAACACATTCCTGGATGATACGTGAAAAGACTAGAGGCTGTCGCATACGATATTCAGTTTTCTTTTCATTCTCAATGGAAGAACGAACATTTCACATGTTTGTAAACTGTCAGAAAGAAAGCAATTAAAGTATGTTGTTTATTCTTTAATTTCATGTCTATTTTCTTTAGCGTAGGTCGTTTATCCCAACAGTCCGTCCAGGTCTGAGGCCCTTCGTGACAGTTAGTAACAAGCTTATTTTTTTACGATTAGGAGTTGTTAGCTCCACGCCCTACCCCTTATCGACTGTCCGCGACTGGTTATTCAGTATATTCGCAGCTACCCTCCTTATCTGGAGGCCGTCTCCTCCATCCGCAACCTGAGGACGCGCCATGCCGTGGTGACAAGGAGCTCATCTAACATGGAGTGGGAAAATCAGAAACGGAAGAGATCACTAGGACGACCAAGACGAAGGTGGGTTTGAAAATTTTAAAATATATATTAGAGAGATATGATGGAGTGGTATGGACTGGATCGTTCTGACACAGGATAGGGACCAGTGGAGGGATTTTGTGAATATGGTAATGAACCTTCAGGTTCCATGAAATTCTGGAAAGTTCTTGATTAGCTGCACAATTGGCGGCTTATCGAGAAGGGCTCAGTTTCAGTTCAGGCTTCAAACGACGCTGTAAATATCACATATTACATGGAGTGGAATGTTACATTGATTATTAAATAGTGAATTTAGAAATATACGCAAGGAAGTGCTCCTGGTCAACTTTAAGGCATTATCCCGGTATCTGCTTCCTGGAACCGAGGAAAGCCACGAAAATAATTTTGTGTTTATAGCCGATCTCCGAACCGATGTTTGAACCAGAGACGTGGGAACAGTGGGAGGGAGTGCTAGTTAAAGTTAAAGCTTTGGGCCAGAAAATGTAACAGCGCATATTTCGGAACATAACAGCGAATGAATTCATGCTGCCTTAGTGAGCTACTTTCAGTACTTATCGAAGCAAATTTCTGAGAAGTACCTTAGGATTTAACTGAGAAGTCCTGTAGATGATTTCATAATGTGGCACTCGCCATTTTTACTCTTGATTTAAAGTACGGATGTATAATAAAAGGACCAGATGGGCTGCAATACAATCTGAAGAAGACCTGGAAGAAAACTTTATAATGACTTCCATATTTGGGGGGGGTGTCTAACGATGGAATCCAGTAACAGGCTCATTTGGACACTATGACGTACCTTCTCGGCTCCATGAAAAATGTGGAATATTTTTTCTAACCAGCTAACAGAGTATCCGTTTCTCGCGTATCCCTTACTGGATGGATTTAGTCACTTCAGTCAAAATTCGTTTGCATTGTTATAAAGATTTTACAAGCTGAGGTGATAAATCACTTGTGTCAGAATATTAATCCAAGGAGACATGAAAAATCGGAGATAAAGAAATGTTAATGGAAATGAGTATACTAGTTATTTCGCTGAACATGCTAATGTCGACTGATCACTAAATTCACTGGAATTAAATGTATTAAGAAATGCGCGATATCTACAGACACCGACAAACTTCCAAGTGGCGCCTCCATTGACGTTCTCGCTAAGCTGTTGCATCTGACGCGACGAGGTAGTGACTATGGCCAATAAAAGCAGTGAACTGCCGCCCCCATCAGCGACTTGGTGAACATGTTTTAAATATTGCAACTAAAGCGGAGTTCGCTTAAGCAGTTTAAGGTTGAGGTGCGAGAGATATTTCATATAATATAAATAATGCTTTCTGTATAATACAAGTGAACTAATATATTAACAAAAACGCAGTAGATATTTAAGATTATTGTGGTGAACAGGAAGAGTACTGTGACACCGGGCAGTCTGGTAGAGCTTTAACGGCGTTGCGTGTATACATACTGATTAATTCTTTCTTCTGGGTCGAAGAGTGAAAGCATGCTTTCTGCTTGTTTCTGAAGGGCATGTCACCTCTAGCTTCAACCACAAAATGGCACCACTTTCTCTCAAACTTGTGGTATCCATTTACAAGATTATATGGAACACTAAACCTAGATGAACTCAATTAGAAAAAGCTAATTAACTGAGATGATTTTCAGTGGCGGCTCGTAGCTAAAATTAGTGGGGGTGCTGCTCCAGAAGCGCACAGTTCCATACAAAGATTTGGCTACTGATATTAAGCTTAAGGATTATATATTGTATTGTACAAGTATAAAGAAAGAATTAAAGAAAAAAGGACTCATTATATAAATGTTATCGATAATATCAAGTGGAAATTGGGGTGCTGCAGTTCCACAGTGCCTATACACGGGCCGCCACTGATGATTTTAAGATTTATCATATTTAGTTCACAAAATCCACGGGCACACGTCTCCACATTCAGGAAGTACTGAAACCAAATTGTAAAGTAAAAAAAGATAAAAAGTATAGCTATCCATGTACCAGGCCGTGAAGGCCCATAGGGTTGTCAGACGTTGAGGGTCCCACATTATCTAGACAATTGTCTCAAAATGGCGGTAAGGTTACCAGCCTTACGCGCCGGCCGCGCTTTACTCCCCAGGAAAATTATTTAATTAATTACTGGTACTCATTTCTGTTAAAGAGTCTGAGTCGACCCCAGGGCCATAGTACGGCTGGAAGGATTAGGTCAATTGAAAAAAAAAATACAATGACCTCATCGAGACTTGAACCCGCGAATTTCCGGCTTGTAGCATAGCCCCTCAACCAACAACGCTACCGCGTGCAAAATTATAAAGGTAATGTAAAGCTATCTCTGTAACCGGCAGTGGAGGCCCATAGGGTTGTGAGACGTCGAGGCTCCCACATTTTCTAGACAACTGGAATTGAGAGTTGGTAATGTTTACTATGTAAATTACCATCTGGAATATTCACAAAAATAAGACGTGCATCCTTTCGAATTCTACATAAGAATGAAAATAAATAATAAGGAATTCTTAAAATATAATAATTAAACAGCTCTGTCGTACAATTCTCAGTATGTACAATTGCACATATGCTAAGCCATACTTACTTATCTCGAGGTACTTCTGATGGACGTTGTCGTACTCATCCCACACAATGTTTCTGAAGCGGTTCCTCTCTTTCGATCCCGCCAGGATGGAGTCCTGCTTGTGGAACTCGTTTGGATTTCTGGAAAAGAGAGAAATTAATAATTAAAAACAAAATATTGTAACGAATTTGATTAACGCGTTGCCAGGCCACAGTTCTGTAAACACGGTCCAACACGCAACAGTAGAAAAAAGCTGTTTTCTCTGTAGATCCGACCGACGCACCAATAGACTGGCTGGGCAACGATCACGAGATATATGTACTGTAGGTCCATGTCGTTCCGCGGCTATATAAGTAAGTGACATGGTTCAAGGCAGGCAGTGATTTCACTCGTGTGGCGGCGGGGTACAATACCTCCACCGTCACCCTGCGAGTCATAGGAGGCGATGAAAAGGGAAGTCTCAAATCTGAGAGAGTAAAATATGGTCTCGAGTCCCAAGGGACTCAGACTCGACAAAGACTGCACTGACAAGGGCCAGCAGCACATACAAAAGGCAGACCCGTCCTCTCGTCAGAGAGGGCGCCCCACAAAAATAAGACCGTAACTGTCAAACACTAATAAGTATCTTGTGAACAGCTTTACGCGACAACCAGTTTCCCACCGTAAATACGAAATATTTATTTAGAATATCCTTTGAATTGAGCCACTTTCCATAGTAAAAAAACATAAAAGAATGCTCCTCTTCGATATTATAGTTCTTAAGCACGGTCGTCATTTTGACTCCAGAAACCAGCCTCTGTTAATTCACACGCGCATCTGCTACAGAGAATTTATTTTGCAAAAATAAACGTGTATACAAAAAAGGCCTGGACAACGCCCATTCGGCCCACTACCCAAAATCTCATGAAGCTGGACTGTGCTGCTACCTAGTGATACACACAGAAAGCCCACTGCGTCGATTACAGCTGTTTTACTTCCATTTGTGACCTATTGTGACATGTCAACCTGTTGTTTAGGGTCGGGATGTGGAACAAGCTGTCACGAAGACAAGCACTTAATAAACAGTCGGTTGCTAAGTTACGCAACAGTGGAAAGAGGTTATGCAACCCGCTTCTAAATTCTAGCCGATAAACTAGACTTCCACGCAGGCGCGATTACGTAGTTCTGCAGTATTGAGTAGGGGTCACGTGACCTTGCCTTTTGGCAAGTGACGTCACATATTCCCCCACCGAGACCGTTACTACGAAACGATCGGTAAACACCCCTTCGACGCAACAGTAAGGACGAGCTGCGTTTTCCGATTAGAGGCAACATGACGAGACCGATACACCGAGTGGAACTACAGTGGCGGAAGCAAGAGAAGTGGAACCAGGAATACAGAAGAGTAAGGGGGTCGCCCTGTCAGGATGTCAAGTGTGATTTATAGAAGACTTCAATATGTGAGACCGTGCAGTGATACTGGAAGTGTAATTGGAAGAACTTAGAGTGTAACACTTTTAGTGATTTGAGAGCTAGCTCTGTGTTGAGATCCGTTGCTAAGAGTCAACTAGTAGCGACTGAGAATCCTAGTGCGTGCGCAGCAGTTAACTGGAATGTGTGCAAATCAGAGACAGCGCTGTAATCGAGTGTAATTAAGAGAGTGTGTAACCAAGGAGCTAATAAATCCAATCATCCGATCCAGAACCAGTCAATTCGTCAAGCTTACCGCCCTACTCTCTCTCTCTGGCCTGTAGTCCGCAAGCGAACTATACAGACCGAGCGACCGCCTCTTGCCGGCGAAGTTAGTGCCAAATTTAGTGGATAGAGGGTGTTACGTGGTCAGCGCAACGGATCCCCACGGCCGTTAATCTCGGTTTTCTAGACCGGAGACGTCCCAACACTTGACACTATTTACTGACTCTCTCTCGTAAATATGGTTTCAGAATGTGGACCGAGTGTAAGTGGCATAATATAGAATCCAGTGACAACAACTTGTAAACATGAAAATGTTATTTCGGGCTTCAAAAATAGTGGAGCAAATCTTTACCAGGTTAGCTGTTACGGATTCCTCAAGGAGAAGTCTCATAAAAGAACCTAATTATGTACCGTGGGTTATTTAATCGACGCTTTCGATATCCAAAATGTATAGCAGCGGGTGGTTAAGGATTAAGGTGAATTCGGTGTCCACTCGTCGAAGAAGAGGCCTCATTTCAAAACATGTAAGTGGTTTTAATACGAACAAAATTTTGGTCAAGGGTCCCCGTGGAACCCAAAACCAAAATTGACTGTGCGGGCCAGATACAACAGCAATGTTCCCTAGTTACTTAATGGTGAAATAATACACGGATAATTTAACACTGGGCAGGAAAACCCTGTGCTGTGTTATGATGGTTTTGCTTCCAATCGTATTATCAAAAATATAACTTTGTAATTTCCTAATGATTACAAAATTATCTACGTCATTGATGACGAAGCACTCACCAATATACCTCACGAACAGCATGAAATGTAACTGTTAGACACAAACACAATGCATAAGCCACAGGCATAAGAAAGGAGAAATAACGAGAGAATTTAATAAGTGGATATTCAAGGATATAAACGAAAAGGAACTTAAACACTTGTGAAATGTGAGATCCATAATACTGCTACGTAGCATGTGTGACTACAGACAGGGTTAGGATTGGTGAATAGATTTATTGACCATTTACAATTCGTAACTACAAATGATTGCAACACTACCGCTATTTCCACACTTTACAGTTCCCTAGAGCACAGAGTCTAGTGTTCTCATTATGTTACTAGACGTTTTCTGGTAACGGCTCCAACAATGGCTATTACTCTGCCTCCGGCTCAAGTCCTCTGTTCACAGACTCCCGTAAACAACTGATTATCAAGTTACTTTGTACCTTGCTTATAATATGTCGGCACAGAACGCACAGAAAACACAGTTTTTATACTGTTGCGTGTAGGTTGCAACGGCCGATGTTTACAGAGTCATCGCTTAGCAGCGGGTCCGTAGACCACAATATAATTTCGATACAGAGCTACATGTAGGGAACGCAGGCAGGTGGCAGAGACCTACAGAGCGGTGTATATGATTGCCAAGGAGACGCTGCAATACATGTATTTAGGGGCATTAAGGCGTCTAATACGTGAATAGAATAAAGAGTATTACTGAGAGGGTTGGCATAGGAGTAGCGCCTTGAGCTCATATTCGGAATTTTCTCATTTCGAATCTCGATGGGGGCACCGCGTGACTTGAGTTTTAGTGGTTTTCCTCCGTTCCTCTGGACAAATTCTTTAATAGAATCTCGATTAGGCCACGACCATTTTCCTATAAATATGCATTCATGTATCATCCTACCATTTGAAGCTATATAGCCTAGATCCTAATATCGCCGTAAACGAGTCAGGAGAAGAAGAAACAAGATTTTAGACGTTCAGGCTCGAGGACTCTTCCATGTACTTCGGTAAAATAATGAGTATAATTTAAAGGTGAGTGTAACTATATTTTTACCGAGCCACTTGTGGGGATGCAAAGTTATGATGGACTGAACTTCAGTCAATACACGAAAAACAAGTCAATTTTGTGTTTCTATAAGGAGAAATTTTTATTTCTTCAGGTAACTTCTATCGTTCTATTATTGCTGTTGTACGAACTAAAAGAAGTGTCACGGTTTTCATCAAGGACAAGCCTTGCGCTATGAAATTCAGAAGAGTTACCAGAAGATTTGATATGGGTATCTATAAAAGTTTTAAACATATTTCTTATTCAAAATCACTGGGTTTTTGGATTCTGTCAATCGTCTGTTATTCTAGAAACTAGAAAAGATAACGTTTCGGAAACTGCATTTGTTTCCATCCTCAGATGAGGGGTCCATGGACGATGGAAAAAGTCCAAAAACCCAGTAATCCTGAGTGTTATAAACCATCGTCAGAACCCTTTAGAATCTACGTGTGTCTTATTGTAGTCCTTCCCATGTTTCGGGGTACTTTAGGATCACGCCGATTTAATAGATATTCTGTGTCAAAAGTATCTTCGAAGATATGTCATAATCAGAGAGTGGCGCAGATAATTCTGACGAAATGATTTGATCCTCCTTCAAGCAATAAGATGCGAATCAAAATCGGCGTGCCGGATATCTCGTTGAACGAATAAAGAGTTTTGTTCCGTTAGGCTGCCTACTCTACGTATGACGTGCCCTCAGACATGTTTTGGATAGAGGTGGCTATCATCCTGACATATTTTATCGCACATACATCCAGTCGATTCAGATAAATGCGGTACTGGCGCTACAATCGCGTGTGGGTCTTGGTCTTCTCCACGGTTTTCTAATAGTAGATGCTTTTTGGGTGGGGTCGTTAGTCCAACGCCCAACCTCCAACCTGGAGCACCAGGGACTACACTTCGCCTGGCCCATACTTGACCTGTCTGGTATGGGTGACCCTACCATGAGCTTACGCTCCCACCAGCATAGCTGTTCTGATCATTGGGGCGCGCAAACTTTCTCTCAATGATAAGCCGGTAGTCTCCTGGGAGGAAATCCGGCACAATATTTCATTTGACATAGGTCGCAAAGTCCACTTGTATTCACTTGTTTTATAATCTTCCAGTTCGACGCTCTACGTCCTCTGATCACATGTTAATACGAGACCTAAAGAGCTGGTTCAAGGGGCAATACTTGAGGGCTTGTATTCGGGAGGTGCCAGGTTACAGTATTGGCTGAGACGACAACCCCGATTGTTTCGTGGTCTCACTTGGTTCTTCCAGGCACATTCTCTGATAGTACCTCGAATGCAGCACTGCCGCGTGTTCCGCGTCCTTTCCAACCCAACATGCACTAGCAAAGAACACCCTACAGTCTGAAAATCTTATAGTGTCATTAAATAAACCACAAAAAAGGAAAAGAAATACTAGGAAATTCTTGTGTAGAAACTGAGTTAGCGCGTACTGGAGCCTCATATTCTTCTTCTATTCCTGTTGCTCTCACTAGGAGCATACGGCATCCGTGAAACGCTTCATTTCATTTCAGTTTCTTAATCTAAGACAATCGGCAGGACTCCCTGGACGGGGATCAGCCCGTCGCAAGGCTGCTACATGACACAGACATCCATGCCATGAGAGTGGGATTCGAACTCATGATCCCAGTGTTCAAGC